TTACCTTACCAGCCAAAAGTAAACAAAACCCCCCATCTGCATAAGATTTGGCTCAGTGCAGAGGCTGTCCCGAAGCTGTGCTAACATGTTTACTGGAAGAACATTTTCATTTTCACAGCTGTTTCCAAAAACAGCCCTCATGGGTCACAATAATATTCTATTTTTCTCTGTGAAATAAGGGACAAGGATTGATAGAAAAGCAGACAAAGAATGTGAAACTCCATTACAGCACACATCTAAATCTGAAGGACAGTGATGTTACAAAAATGAATTTAATGGCAAGTTTCTGCATGTTTCTGTATATGTGTGTGAGGGACTCGGAGAACCATAGATTTAACACAAAATATAACAATACGAAGTCAGTGAGTGGCTTCCACCTCACCGCCTCATACTAGTAACACCATATAATATTAGTAAACATTTACATTAGTAAAGTGTTAATTCATCACTTATAAAGGATAAATCCTATATTAATAGACATTAGCATGTAATTCATAAACACAGATAAGAATGTTTCAGTCCTGATCTATAAGTTCACATAGAACATGTTTAATGACACTATTTTACATTTATAAATATGTATTGGTTAAAGTATGCTTAATTGTGTAAATGTGTTAATAGAGGTTTTATAAATACTAAATTTTTTATAATCCATAGTTAATGCAAGCAGTTTTAAGTAGGTTATTTTGTGTCACCTAAAGTGAAATAAGGGAAGTATGCCTTAAAATGCATTTACAAGTGAAACTGAAAGGACAGCAAGTAGTACCTTAAGATTCAAAAGTCTGTTATGTTAGCAGCAGAAAGTAAATGACACAGTTGTACACAGCGCAACAGAAACACGGGGCAAAGGTTGGCACAGAAAACTCAAAAGAGAACAAAACCTAAAAGTTTTATTTCAAATTTCAAGTCCTGTAATGCAGTAAATATAACATCAAGTTCTGTTATCATAATGTGAATAGAAAGGCTAATATAAAATGCAATACAATGTAATTTACCCATTTACATTTTAACTGGATAAAATTTGCTTCATTTAGTCAATTAATGTCTCGCAGCAGACTGCAGACCAGCACCCGCCTCATCTGTAACACGACATGAGAGTCACTGGCATGCATGATGTAAGTTTCTGACTGATCGGATTTTGATGGGTGACAAAGAAAGAAAAAGATTTTCCCAATAACAGTTACTTCGTAACATTTGTTCATTTGTAGTATCTCTTGGGCAAATGGCTGTGACTGCAAGAGGAGCTCCGCTATTTGAAAAAAGCTGAGTGATTTTTCACACATTAATGCAAATTACCATTCAAAGTAATGTTGCAGTAAGTTTACTGTTCATGCCACTGTCTGAAAGACAGAACTGTCAACTCACATCTACTGTAATGATTTCAGCTGAGGACAGGATTCTATTTTTCTAACCAGAGACCAACACATCTGCTAGAATCTAACAAGATATTAAGTTAACATCTTTTTTTCTTTAAACACAGATTTTAAAAGTGCAGCAGAGCATAGTGAAATCCAATTACAATGTCAAAGGGGACATCTTTCTTTTGTAAAGATCTTGTGATGCTGAAACTTTTATTTTATCCTGTTTTGTTCACTGCAGATGGAATGAAGTTTATTTAAAAAAAGAAACAGTATTTTGTATATCATTTTGGAAAGCATCCTAATTTTAGCTGCAGTGCCTAAAACTTTTTGAGTTTGCAGATATAAAATGGATAATGGGCTCAAATGAAAATCTAACCACTAGGCTCCGGAACTGAATTCTTACAATAATCTCTGGTATTTGTGTTCACAGTGATAGCTGTGTTCTGCTAACTGGCCCTTTTATTTGATTTAGGGAAGGAATGGAGAAAAAAAAACTGCTGTATTGGTAAATTTAATGTGGAACTCGAGCTGATGGTTTAAGTATTTTGATGCTGTTGACAACGTATCTTAAAAAATAATAACACATGTTTACATCACACAAGAGTGGGGTTTTTTTCTGTTGTAAAAGAACTTTCTGGCCCATACTCCATCCTTTGTGTGGCTAATGTGTGTGTGGTCTGTGCTCCTGTAGATAGATTATCTGTGAAGCTACAGGGCTGTTTTAACCTTGACTAGGAAGGTCATGGCACTTTGCTGAGTGGTGAAGTCCCTTGAAAGCTCCTTCCCATATGTTGATGTACGACAGGTTTATTTTTAAGTGATGTTTCACTCTGTTGAGACTGCTGGAGCACACAGTAGGGTTGTTGTGTCAAGATGTATTTTTTCCCTCTTCTTGATATATCTGATAAGAAGGCTGCACTGGAAACACAGGACTCGGTTGTATGATGCTATTACCATCTATCTTGCAGCGTCTTTTTAACAATGGTGTGTAGTAATGAAGACTTTTGATCCATGTTTTTGTTTATTTGTTGATATCACCTGCTATTTAGTCAATACAGGCCTGACAACTGAATGAAACAAGTAAAGTGAGTGAGGCATGCAAAGCTAAGAATGAATTTCACAAGTAAGGTTTGCATAAGTCTCTTTCCTTGCAGCTCTTAGACTGTTGTTTGATTACACAGTGTTCAAATATTTACATTCTGGCATTTATCGGTGCTGTTCTGTTATTTTCACAACATGTTCACAACGTGTTCCTTTTTTTATCAGTGCCATAAAATAAAATGATCTTAAAATGGAGCAATTCAGTTGCTGATGTAATAATTACATGGAAGTTAAATATTCACCGTGGTGGTTATATTTTACGTGGGAGCTGAGTTCTGGGAGGTTACAAAGCTACTCCTTGCTTTAGCAAATACATGCCTACAAAAAAACACACACCCATGGTGAAACTGATGAAACACTTAAAAGTGAATTCTCATACCCTGTAGATAGTTTCTCTTTACACTATGTTTCTTGTGTGGCTATTTCATACAAACTAAGTAAAGTAATGTTGGTTTCTTGAGCATGGATGTTTATTCTTAACCTTGAGGTCATATGTGTAGCAATGTATACAGCTTGTAACTACATCTCCATGTGTATGCTTTAAAAAGAAACTGCCTCTGTTGTGATAGCAGCTACAGTGAATTACATTGTAATAATACTGTATCTACTTTCAAAAATAGTGGCTGTGAAACGCTGTGAAAGCGCCAGAAAAATGCAGCTTTTGTTGATTCTTACTTTGTCACACTCTGCTCTCACTAGGTGCGGGAGTGGGCCTTAAAATGATATCACAATCTTTCAAGAAAATTTGGGATAACCTGTGGTTGTGATGTTTCATTACTGAATCATGAGCGGTTTACATTGTTATAGCATTTAATGTGAATGGTTACGACATTGTTGGACAAACACCAGAAGCCACCAATGCTTTTTCTTTTCTTTTTTGTCTTTTTGATGAAAGTAGGTTCTGTCGTAATTTTGCTGATGTGACTGAGCTACACAAGTAAAAGTTCCGAATTAGGAGGTAGCTTTGTCAAGCTAAGCTAATGTTGTCCTCTTGTTTGTAGTGTTCCCCAAGTATTTCAGTTTATTTGATAAAATAGGTGCAATACTTGTTTTCCCCTGTATTGATACAAGTGCAAACAAAATGAATACCCTTTTCAATCCTTCTTTTCCAATGAGCTAATGTCAAATGAGCTAATGAAAATCGTGGTTGGAGGCTGAGACGAAGCTCTTGCTGTCAGACATATCTGGTCTTTGCTTATTGTTGTGAACATATAGGGAATATATACGCATTGTAGTGCTATATCTTTGACATCAGGGTATGACACTTATATATTATGAATATGTGCCATATCATATTATCACAGACAATATAATGTGGCACAGCCCCAGTTGTCACCTTTCTGCAGGGATTACTTGATCTGGTTTGAGCTGTAAAGGCTACACAGTACATTCTTGTTGGTATTCTAATGGCATTAAAGTATGCTTAAAATCCTAGTTATGAATGTTTCTATGAAACATGTTCTGTTCTAGACTGAATCTTTCATTATCTGTGTCTGTCTTAATATGGCTGCTTGGGGAAATGAAGTGATGTAGGTCATTAACGTGATATTCCACTCAGAATTTTTACAATTATGTAATGTGCAAAGGAATATTTTAAAACTATGGCGTATCTGATTTAACTTTAATTAGCCCTTGTCAATTAAAGCACTTAGTGTCTCTCAGACAAATGAGAAACCCCATAACCAACCAGTCAGACCTCGCCAGCAATGACAGAACATAGTAACAATAGTACTGGTTTATCCTTTAAATAGGTTAAAAAACAACTAATGTTTAAGCAGGGGGAATTTTGCATTAGAGCATGTGAAGTCTAAACTTTTCTCATTGTTGGTCCTTTTAATTAGATGGGACTTGTTACTCTGGTAACCAAAAAAGCTTCTTTTTACTTAATAGTTTTTGATGCAAAGGTGTGGCTTTGCTTCAAAAGTTGAACCACTTTAGCCTTACTGCTTTCTTGGCTAGTTTGTGGAGATAGAAGATTGTCCAGGTAGCCCTTCAGAGAATTTGACACCCTGTAGCTCCTCATCTGATTTTTAGGGGTAAGCTGTAACATGTTAGAGAGGAACATTGTTCCAACCACCATGATTTTTTATTCATGTGCTTCAGTTGTCCTGTTTTTAAAATTTAACTAAGCCAATGATGTTTTGGTCATTGAGTTTTTAAAAATATGGCATCAGAAGATACATTAAAAAAATGCTCCAACATTATTTAACCTAGTAACGCCGAGTTTATCATATGTGATACATGAGTTTTCTTGAATTTCTCAGACTTCTACAGCATCAATGTAATTTTTTTGTAACTAACTAAATTGCACAATACATTTTTAAGCAATTAATTACAAAAAAAACAAAATAACAATATTTACAAAATACAAATAATAATAATAATGCTAGTAATAATAATAATTTGCAGGCAATTATTTCATGGTTCAGGCTTTAAAGGTTTAAGCTTTGGTCATTACATTGGTTTACAGTGCCTATATGTAGCCTACGTTTTGGTTTGGAGAGAAAAATATAGCTTTTTGTGTGTCATTTTTTGCAGGGACACATCTTCGTGTATGTCTTCAGGGAAACACATGTTGCACCGAGGAAATGGAGGACAGATTTGGCCAACAGAGTAAACAAGACTTTGAGAATCTGGTTGATGAAATGAGTCACACACTGAGAAGCACCTTTGTTTCGAGACATAAAAGATTTGATGGTAAGTCCTCTTTGCTTAATGCTTTAATTTAATTATTTTTTTCTTATTTTCTTTTCTTTTAAAATTTGTTTTAATGGTCAGTCACTAGAGAACAAGTGCTGCGAAAAGGAAAACCAAAGGCTTGGGACTGTACGTGTTAATTTGAAAGGGTTTACTCCAGTTCTTTAGCTCTCCTCCCTGAAGAGGAGACGAGATGTGAAAATCTCATTAATATGCCTTGGAGTGGAGAAACCTCTTGCTGGATTAGACAAACATGGCTACTTGCGCTGAAGATTGACAACTTCAACAGCAGCACAAAGCCAGCTTCTGCATTATTAAGGTTGTTTGGTGGTCTTGTGCTGTATGTGATCTTGTCCTAGTCCCATTGTGACTTTCTTGACCACTACACGTTTAATAAGTTTTTGTATGGGACGAGATGTGCTCATTACTGAACCAAGCCTCACTCTGCCTCTCTACATGTCCCTGTTGGTGTTCTTCTCTATGGGGTCAGCTCCTTCTAGTTACAATTTAATGAGAAATAATAATCCTTTCAACTCTCACAAGACCATGTGGTTAGCAACAGTTTATCACTGTGGACAATGGTGACAGGTAGAAGAGGTGGAGAAGTATAGCCACCTGTCAACACTGTCATTAAAATAATAATAATTATTATTATTATTATTATTATTATCAAAATGCTAATATTAGTAAAATAGTTGTTATTATTTAGAAATCCAACATAATGCCTTTCATTACATAGATATCTTTAAAGATTAAAGACTTCTTTTTATCTCCAAAGAATTGATGGGCCAAAAATTTCCATGTATAAAAGTTGATTAAAGAATATCTAAGAATATTAGATTGTAATGGTTATTGGTAGTACTTAAACCTTAGCAAATACAGTATATGATCACACTATACAAAAACATGTTATTAGGTACACTTTGTCAGTACTGGGCTTGACCTCCGTTTATCTTCAGAACTGCCTACAAGGTGCTGGAAATGATCCTCAGAGTTTTTGGTTCATATTGACATAATAACATCACTCAGTTGCTGCAGATTTGTTGGCTGTGCTTCCAGCATGGGAATCTGTGGTTTAAAGGATGCTAAATTGGTAATTAATGGCCCAAAGTGTACCAAAATGGCATTCAACACACCATTACACCACTGCCATTATCCTGATCCATTGATACAGGGCAGGATGGATCCAGATTTTCATGTTATTGGCTTCATTTTCTGATCTAGACTCATCGGACAAGGCAGCATTTTCTTTTATTGACCAATTTTAATGAGCTAATGGGTATTAGCTTCATTGTCCTTTACTTAGTTGACAATAGTGTCACCCGGTGTGGTCTTCTGCTGCTATTTGCTTTAAGGTGCTATCTCTGACCCCAGCTGGTGGTGGCAGATGGTGCCCTTCCTTGGGAATGGTTTTGGGTTTAGGGAGTTTCTCCTTCCCACTGTCACTCATCAGTGCTCAAAGGGGGTCATTGATTGTTGGGGTTTTCTCTGTTTTCTTTGTATTATTGTAGGGTCTTTATCTTAAGATATAACTTGATTTGGCACTATTCATAAATAGCACTGTTGAGAAATTGAATTGAATTGATTCACCTTTCCACCTCATTCTGATGCTTATTTGAAATTCAGCAGTCTTGATCATGTCTACATCCCCAAATAGGAGTGTGCAACATAGCCTTAAAATGATTTCAAGATATTTAAAGAAATAATGATATTTATGATGATATGCAGACAATAAATACTAAAAATATGTGACTGATGCCTGCAGGCATTACCTTTTTATCCTTCTTTTCCAGCGAGTACAGAAGCGTGCAGAACATTGTAACATAATACAACAAAAAAATCTAACCACCACAGTATTTTCCATCCACAGTTAACTCTTCTCATCATGTGGAGTGTAACCACTTAGTGCTCCAGTGATATTCCATTGAATCATTTGTTTCACACCACTGTATCTAAAACAGCAGATGATTCTTGTTGCAGTTAAGGATGTTAATATATTGTGTCTGTTACTGTGATGAATAATTAAAGCTGCTTGCAGCCACGTCTGGCAACCTTGACTAAAATAAAGGAAGTGTTTTTGGTAGTAGTACAAACTTCCCCATTGGGGTAAAAACTGCATAAACTTAAAATAAATGCAGAAACTAAAAGGTGCAAAATAATAATATAAAAATAACAAAAAATAAATATATACAAATAAAAAAATTTTGCCATTAAAGGCATAACAAATTAAGGCTTAAGCAATCTTTAGTAAAAGCCCATTCAGTATGCCTCTTAAATAACTTTGACATAAATTATCTGCTACCGTGCATGTAGGACTACATGCACAGGTCCTGGGTCTTCCACGTAAATGGCAAAACTCCAAGTTAATTTTGAGTTTTATGTTCAGGTCGAGCATTTTTTAGGTGCGTTCCTCTGTTCTTGACAGCACTACTTGACTATTTGTCTTAATATATGAATTTAACTGTAAAGGAGCAGTCTCTTTGAAATTTGAATGTCCAGGGATCACAAAGTCAGAATTAGTCTCAGAATTAAAATTTGTTGTTGAGTATTTATTTTACTACCATGAGTGCAGCCATCGAACTGATGCTACACAACTTGTGTTTGTTGTCATGCCTGCCATAGATGCACAGGAAACAGCTAGAAAACAGACTAAGCACAACATTGATAATAAGGACAATTTTAACAACTATGCATCCTAATGGACTTAAAATATATGCTAAACTAAAGTCACCGACATCACTATTAATTACTTGCTGTATAATATGTTAATGTCCACTAAATGCATGTAAATTACAACATGGGTAAAGCCTAATTTCTCAAATGAGAGAGAGTAATTATCTAAAAAAGTTTATTCAAGTAAAGATTGAAAGCATGCATTGTAATATTTTGCGACTGGAATGTATTCAAAGTCAACAATGGATATTGGTTGAGTGATTTAAGTGTGCAATTTAATATTCAGCAGTCAATGTCATGTCGTTCTGTCTTCATTCTATTCAAAATATTCAACATATTATATGAAACTAATGCTATTGGGTTACAGCATGCTACTCTCAGATGATTCCACTGGTGCCCAGAAACTCAATGTCACAATGATGTCTGTTTATTTATTTATTTTTTTCCAGGAATACACTTCTTGAGCCCACATGTGATTCCTGGAAGCATGCATGAATAAATAAGTGTTATTTTGATCATCCCCTGTCAAGATGGTGAATATCATGAGGAAGGGAAATGGGGTTTGTCCAGCAGCACTTAGATGCATGACTCCGGGCACCCCTTGTTCTCGTGGGGTTTGCGGCCACTCTCCATAATTTCATTAGAGTCAAAGCAAATGCTGTTTGCAGGTTTTTGAAGGAGACTGTGTGTCGGATGAGGGTCTTTACTGATAAACTGTTTAGGAAATCTGAGATATTGTTTGCTAAATTAAAAATTTTCCCTTACTGTTTGTTTATGTAATCAATTTAACTAGATGATTTAACTAACAGATCAGCTGCTCAGGCACATAAAAACTTGTTTTATAACGATTGTATAATTCCTCCGTGTTCCCAGAGGTGCGCTTATTCATTATGAAGCAGTATTACCTAAATAACAAGATACTGAACCAAAGAATATAGTTAAAGATCCAAACAATAAAGAGCTTTTAGTTCACTTGAATGCCCTTTTTCTATCTTTTCAGAGCTTTGCTTTAGGTTTCCGCCTACAGAGAGTCGGTGTATTTGAATATTTTTTTCATTTTATGCAGACTGTGATGATGGTTACTGTAGCAGATAGTAGTTGGGCAGCCCACACATTCCTGACACCACAGCCTATGTGTCACAATAAGAGGGTACGGTCTCAACTATGCCAAGACTCATCCACTCTGAAATGTCTGCAAGAGCTCAGGGGCACGGTACACTTGTATCTAAAAGAGAAACAATATCATCGGTACCAAACGTGCAGCAGAATTCCTGTAATTTAGTAATAAATGCTATTATTATAATATTATAATATTCACTATAATCCATAAAATAAGACCAGAGAAAATAACTGGTCTAAGAAACCAGACAAAGCAAATGCTAGCACAGAGAGTTCTTTTTTATCTCACTCATTAAAGTCCAACGTCAGGGTTTGTAATTGTTAATCAATTCTTGGCCCTGCTGACCACAAACACCATGGTGCTGAGCATCCTAGCAGAATATTAATGTGGTCCATCCTCTGCAATTTATCCAATATGAACGGCCTCGCACATTGTGTGTGGTACCCATTGATATCAGTTGCATTGTCACAGCGTTGTTAAATTTTTACCGTTATATATAAAAATGTAAACTGTATTTTTATGCAGTCAATGTTGAGGTGCCCTTGACCAAAGCACTTAACCCAGAAAGACTCCTGAGAAAGTGCCAGCCATATAAAACAGTACTGTGTGGGCAGCAAACAGGTGTGGTTATGTGACTAGATGACTAGATCTTCTCTGTACCTGAGATTCTGCCAGAGGCCCCTTTCTGTTTATTTCTAATAGGGAATTTTTGATCTCATTTCTGTAATATTGTAGGGTCCTACTACAGTACAAAGAGTATAGATGACATGACATGAGTGTACAGATGAATTGTGAACTGACACTATATAAATTAAATTAAATTAAATAACATGAAAATACTGCAGTATGTCTGCTTCTTAAGTTATGACGTATCCATCTTCTCAAAGTACTATCAAAGTTTCTGGTGTCTAAGTGATGAGTATTTGTTATTTTAGGTTATAAAAATAAATAAATAAAAATTGTTATTCTAACCCCATACAGCTTTTTAGTAGCCCTTTTTTAATAGCACACCTTTAACTAAGCTTTAAAAACTCAATACACACCACAACCCCAGGGCTCCTATAGTTCTCCAGACACTGATATTTTAAAGCATCAATAGTCCATTCTCTGCCTGGCAAACTTTTTTGGTATTGACATTTAACTTAGGATACTTCTTTGTAGGAAATTGCTCAATAACGTCTTCATTACTTATATTCTGTTGTGGATG